TGATCTCTAGGTTCAAATAAACTCATGAATTCAATTATTATAATTATCAGAATAGGCTTTAATCGCTGAAAAATTCCCATTATATTAAAAACACAATTGTATGAACGAAGAATATTCTTTTCAATAATTTCTCATCAGGTTCTACAATTATCTCATATCCAAATTAATAATCCATAAAATTGGCCAAATTTAAGGCAGAGTACATCACTTGGCAACTGTAATATGTGAATCAGGAATTGTTTGTTATATAAAATAAAATCGTTAATGTTGGGATGACTAATATGAAGTGTTAACTTGAATCAGTTTATAAGTGAAATGAAATTGTGTGATAAATGGTCAGAATAAATATGGTCAACATGGGGTAAAAGAGAGAGAGAATATTGTGATTACAAATCGGAAACTACGTAATATGTAAAATAATTAGGTCAACTATAGTAGATTCAGGGGTGGATATTGAATAAATTCCTCAAAAAGGGGTTATCAAGTGTAAAGACAATAATAGTAATAACAGTAATAATAATAATAAGTTTGGGACATAAAATGAACATTAATCAGATTACGTCACCACATTATAAAATTGATTATTAGCTAGTTGGCCAGGTTAAAAGGAGTGGCTGAACATACTTCATTTGGATACAAAGCTCTGGCTTTTTGATCCGAATAGCAATTGCTTCAGCCGTCTGTATGATCCGCAGTCTGATGGAATTAGGTAGACAGCTGTTGACACGATAGATTATTGCAAAAAAAATTGCTCCATGTTTGCTGTATGTCCTGTTTGAACGGTTAACAGCTCCATCTTAGACCATTTAGTCCAGTGTTTTCAGGTTTTCCATGGTGGTCTAGCTTCAATTGACTCATGATTTCAACCAGTGATATTATAATTACTTAATTACATATTCTTTTATTGAACTAGAAACAATTATGACTTATATTCAATAGAATAACTCATTCATAATAATAATAATAATAATAATAATAAAACTTTATTATTTGTTTACATTTTATAAAATCAATTAATTATTATTATTAATCATAATAACAATTGCATATTATTTACATAACTAATCGATTTTATTTGACTGTATGCTTGTATATATATATATATACATCAGTCGTCTTTTATATATGCACTCAAATTACATACCTACATACATACACTATATGTATCTATGTATACACATAAGTACAAAGTATTCATTTTCATTTTACATCAATTATTGATTATGCGCACAAATATTATTTCATAGTTGGTCAGTGAAAAAGAAAAAAAGCATTTTTTTTCTTCTTCTTCTTGACTCATTTATTAAAATTAATTATTATATAATTGAATTTTAAGGTTAATTACAAATGATTGATTTTTTGTAGATTTCATCCTCATCAATAAGAAATTTCATTAGTAAAAAAGGCAATTATTATTATTATTATTATTATTATTATTATTATTATTATTATTATTATTAGTTAAAATGATGAGTCAATAAATGTGACGGTGATTGTACTTAATGATGTTAATTAATAAAACAATAAATATTGTTTATTGTTTCAACATTATATACATAAATTGATGTCTGATTAGTGGAGAATATCATGTTTGTCTAATCCTAAGTATTATATCCTGAATGTTGATTTCTTGATATACCGCATATAGCAGAGTACTAGAACACTAAAACCCTTTTAAGTCGCAATAAGAAGACTAATGAAAGGAATATTATTCCAAACAGTATCAATCATAGTACAAAATTGTCGGGTATTTATAGTTTTTACTAAGAACAAAATCATCATTACAGTCCTCCAATTCGCATACAGGGGGCTATTGGCATTATCCAATCGGGAAGCTACACGTAGAAATTCTAGAATATTCTTTCGAAAGGTGATTGGATGGAACATCTTCGGCTCGTTCTGAGCCTCTTACAGCTTCCTCGAGTTCACCGGTGGTCCGTCGTCACAATTAATTAAATAACATTGATTCAGTAGTAGTGTAGCCATTTATCTATGTGATCCGACTTTGTGTACACTATGTTGAGATGTTGTAGATATCTCAATTCTACAAGAGCTCATTGATAGCGTCTCAAACTGTTATACTTAGTGATCTGTGTTGAAATCCACAAATATAAACTAACACGTAAGCTAAGTTAGGAGTTTCTTTTATTATCTCTAACCACTTAAAATCTCCACAATTTGATCATTATTAAAGAATATAAAATTAATCAAGTGATAATACATCGTAAAACAAGTAGGAATAGATCAATTGAAAGGAATAACTTCTAACATCATTTAAGATGACTCAGAGTATTTGGAGGGGGAATTCAATATGAATATGATAAGGGGTTAAAATAATAGTAATAATACCAGCTTTAGATCAAAGTTTTAAAAAACACATCATATACTCCTTCTGTATAAATTAGACAAAATGACATCCCATAGGTAACCAAAACTCCTATCGTTTAAAGGAGTTAAAAAAGAAGAAATATTAGAACCATTAAGATATATTGTTCAAGTTCGATACTATTTAAATTAGGTACGTTTACGTGGGACGGTGTAAGTGTAAAACATCCTCAAGAATAGAGGTCTAATAAGTGCTCGTATCAACGACAGTAGTTGAACATTTTCTCTATAATTTCACTAGTGGAAGGTAGAATACTCAAACATGTAAGCGCATTTAAGGCATTTTCAGAGAAGTAAACATTGATACAACGAATTAATGATGAGAGTGATTTTATTTCACGAACAGATTGTGGTAAATTATTCCAGAAGTCATAGATTCTGTATACTAATATTTTGAATATCATTATTTACACCAATATCTTCTCAAGTTATAATTATATAGCACATATGCACGTCTTTATTCTTCATCTTACCCAGCCTTATAGAATTTATATTTATATAGTCACGTCTATGAATGTAGCACAGGGTTAATTGAGTCAAGAGAGAATCTCACAGTGAATATCTGTTCCATCAAAATTATTAGTACACCTTACTAGCGTATACTTAAATACTTAGGCATGGATATTCTTTCCTATTGTTTTCAAACATCTGTATATATGTTTGGTAAATTTGTGAATATTTCTCCCCACAAAAAGAAAATACTTTTTGAAAGGCAATCTAATATATAACTTATTAGCATTGTATTTCAATCTACAAAAAGTGAATCGACTTTAAACATTTCTGATTAATGTCGAGTATCCGCGTTGATTAAATTATCATCACTAACTTTTTCTAAAACATAATTTAGTAGTGTTTACAAATCTAAACTGAATTAATGCATATTCCATGTGGGATTATGTTAAAGTACACTGCATGGTCAGTTTTTAGTTAGTCAGCGCTAGCGAATAATTGAAGATTGGAAAAAGTTTTTTGTTAAAAATTGTGAATATACTAACGTTTTTCTGACCAAATTTTGTTCACTTGAATTGTAATTACATACCTGTCCAAGCCGCTTACTGACTTTGGGGACTAGTCGAGTGAGGTAAAGTGATTGAAGAATACAAAGCATTAAGAGTATCTGGATTGAATTTTGAAAAGAAGGACTTAAAAAGTAATGTGTGTTCCGTCATCCATTCATGACATGCTACAAGTTATCCTTTCTTTAAGATTTAATTAAGTTGGAGCGTTTTGACTTTTTTTAATATAACGTTAATTAACTAAAATAGAATATTTATATTTAACATGATACTCAATCTTTAATGAAAGTAATGATCCTACAGTTCACAAGTTGTACTTGTTTTCTTCTCTCTCCTACTAAACAATAATCATAAAAGTAAAAATGTTTTAAAATTAAGATTTCGTAAGAATAGAAAGTTAAAAAAATGTGACATATCACGTTTACGATTTACAAAACATAACTAACTGGTTAGCTGGGGTTCTTTTTTGATGAATCTAGTCAGCATTCAGTTTTTCAGGTATTGTCTTTAAAATAAACCATTACAGGCAGAATTGTATTTCTTGTTGGTTTAGTGAAACGGTAGTTTACTAGTTGAATCGCTTAAAATTTAACCAGTTCTGCAGGTCCCATCCCTAAATCCTGTTTTGCATACTTTAAAGTATGTAAACTATATATCTTCGCTTTTCAATTCATTAATTGACTGAATTATACTGATGATCCTCTTTAGTGTGCAAATTTTTTCTATGACAACTGACAGAAAGACGTACTTGAAATGTAGTAAATAAGATTTATAGCTCACAATGTTTTACAGAAACTCATGAACTTTGATGTCTGATCCTAGGCTCTTCATCACCAATGGTATGACGAGCGATAATTAAGCTGACAAATAACCCACAAAGATAATATCCTCCGATCGTTTATGACTTCTACTCATGTTATGTTCCTGTTAGTAATTTGTGCATAAGCATTTTTTCATAAAATCCTCATTCTTCTGGCTCATGGTTTTGTATTTAATACCAGTTCATTTGGAGGTTTGGGTTAATAAATTTGATCCCTTAAGTGATTATTTCCCGGCCATATTTTTTGATTACGTTTGTCAATCAATCAGGATTCTTCGAATTATGTTATCATCATTCAATACTTCTTCAGCATCCATAAATTATCTTAATCAATAACAATCTTACTAAATATTCTTCTCAGCTCCTGCCACACACTGTTGTAACAAGTTTGTTGACCCTTGGTCAAATGCAAACGGAATCATTAACATCTCAAGCTTCAAATTCAATCTGTCATTTACGAAATCATCTAGTCACACGAGTTAAAGCTTTTAACTGTAAATTAGGAAACAATATGTATGTCATCTCATATAGAAACGTTTTTTAGTAGCGCTACCGTTGATTATTTCGAATCTTTGATTTTGTTTCCATCATTATCTCATGAATTCTAACCTTGTTTGATCTAAGAACATTTAGTCAGACAAACGGTATAAAATATGTTGGTTGTTTCGAAAGATCATCAAAGTCTTTTGAATTAACGTTCACATAATACATCACTATATCATTCATCTTACTGGCGAATTTATTGTTTGTTTAAAAATACTGTCTGCTTGAAATTTCAGCTACTTCTGGTCGACCTTGGTCGTACATAATCAATATACTGAATAATGAAGCTAGTGATTCGGAATTATTGATCTATGCAATGACTTTGCTAAATAAAACATTAAATTCTATACCGGATCAGGACACATTTTATGATGTCACAGACTGTCTAGAAGAAATGGGAATGCAGAAAATTGTTCAATGTCATTTAACAAAGAAAAACTGTGATCCAGAACTAGCTGAACAATTAAATTTATACGAAGTAAGAATCAATTGTTTTCCTAATTTTATTCATATTTGAAAGTCAACTATAAAGTGAACGACCAACATTTTTTCTTACGTTTATAATAATATCAATGAGTTGGCGGATGGATATAAACCAAGATGTCCTGTTGAAATCTGCAGTCCTTGAAAATAGCTTGATCATGACATTAATCAATAGTCATAACTTCACTGATTGCAACATTGAGTCTTGCAAGTTCAAGTCGTTAAGATAATATTCGTCTTCCTAAGTTGTAGATCGACGTTAGTAAATATAACACCTAGTTATAAAACATTCCGTGTATTCCTTTTACCTATTAAGCATTATTCTTAAATTGGTCGAGTTTTGGATTTATTTAGGTATCTTCGTCTGTGCGACAAGTGACTAGTATCCTTATAATAATGAATAATGAATATCACTGTGTATCTCTTTATGGGGCTGGAAAACGTCTAATAGAAGTTCTTAGAAGACTATGTTTCGTCAAATTTAATCAAAATGAGTGAAACTAAGTAAACTAATCTGTAGAACTGATATTTTCGCCTACTTTGTTAGGGGATTTTAAACGATCTTTCGTATATATGACACGAGAAATACGTATTTCATTGCGTGTTCAAAATATGCTTTTATTCAAATTTAATTTATTGCCCTGTCTAAACGTAACGCAGCATGTCACTTTATATATTTTCGAAATATCTTTATTTTTATCTCCATCCGACATCTAACTTTGTATCCTTCTTAAACATAATTCACTATTTAGTTATAATGTAAAATGTATTGTTTATATCATTGTATGACCGAGAAAGTGATGGATTCTCATGAAATGGAAAACAGATTAAATAATCCCGTAGCTAAATACTCTGTTATTAGAGATGTTGATAGTTGTAGGTAATAATTGGAAACTCATCAACCTATTTATTTTTTACTTGATGCTCATTCGTAAACTGTACCTTCACTCTAGATGAAACCGATGCTTTCTATGCCATTGTAACCGATCTCATTCAGTGTCGAAGACACTATCATTTAGTAAGTTAACTCCTGTGTGACTGAAGCATGTACACTGATTATTCCCTCAGTAGTAACTAATATTGCCTTTGTTGAGCTATGAGTACTACTTTTATTCTATTGATCGAGTAACAGTTTAGCCACTCTGATTACAATGATTCTCTGTAACGCGAACTATGCTTTAACCGTCAAGTGATTCGAACAAGCAAGACAATATAACTATGAGTTGTTTACGACGTACTAAACGATTAGTCAACTATAAAAACGAAGGTCATGAAGCAAGCAAGTTGGTTAATCTATTCGTTTAGACAAATCGTTTATGACGAATCTTATGTGAACTGTTCATATTCTCTACGGCTGTTTTTGGTAAAGAAAAATTACTTTGTTAGCATCATTGCAAAATGAATAATTTGGATTCATGTTAGTAATGATCGAAATGAATTCAACGGACGAGTTTTTATTTAGGACTTATTAAAATCCAAAAACGTGATTAAATTAATCTTTTCTCAGAAAAAATAAAACAATAAATACTTCATTTGTTTTAACGTCCTAATTTATTACAATTGTGTATACAATAAATTATCCTTTTTTCTTGTAGGCAAGTCTACGATATGAGGATGGTGAAGATTTCGATGAATTACCTTTACCGGTTAGTGGTCGTGAAAGTTTACGTCAAGGTAGACGTATGAGTAGAGTACAGTTTATGAAAACACCTGAAGGTGAAGCACTATTATCATCTATGCATGCTTTACCAACTAGTCAATCAATGGCTAGTGAAATGGATGGAATGCTTGGTCGGAAATCAAAACGTTTTCAATCAGTAGAAAATTTACAAAATAGTGGATTATCAAAAAGTGTTAAAAATGCAAAGTAAGTCTTCTTTTCTTTAAATATATATATATATATATATATATACCTAATTTGCATTATACATAATCCAATATATAGTATATTCCTTTTTATCTAATAGATGTTGGAGTAGAATTATATCGCAACTTTTGTGTATTTTGGAAGGAGTAGGCTGCTGTTTCATCTTATCATGGGACTCCGCAGTAGTGCACACCCACAATCCTGAACGCGGGAATCGAACCCACAGTCGACATTATCGCGCTCGAACACATAACCTCCACACCACTGAGCTGTCATTCAAAGGTGTTAGCATCTAACTTTGATCAATATACGAAATTGCCTTACACCCACCACTACTAAACTACACTGCTCACAACTTCTCGCTAGAACTTTGGGATTTCCCTCTAAAAGCTAATCACTAATGAGCGTATAATAATTGTGAGTATGACGTTGAGGAAGTTGCTGAGTTTCATCGAAATCCTGAACCAATTTTCAGTATTAATTGAATTTAGACATTAATAAATTTGTATGATGCCTCAGTGGTCTAGAGGTTAAGCGTTCGAACGTGAGGATGTTGATTGTGGACTCGATTTCCTCATGTGGATTCATGTATGTACATTGCTGAAGAGTCGCATACTAGAACGAAACGACCTTCCAATGTTTCCAGGTCTATAGTGGTGGCCTAACTCGTAACGGTTCGAGCTTTCAATGCCACCCAACAATCTTCACAACGCTATACTCACAATTTTTATCGCGTTATGTGTTATGGCAGTATGAAACTATTTCTCTCCACTATCCATTATACATATATACCGTAACAGGTACAAAGCATGTTAAACATAAAAAGTAAAACAACGATTTATACAGAGGATAATGTGAATTATCAGTTAGAACACCTCAGGTAGTATCACTTATTTCTTATTGACTATGTTGAGCGTTTCCACTGTTTTCCTCGTCTATTGGTAGTCATATCCATTGTTCTATCAAACTGAGATATTTAACTCATTAATTAGTCCACTAAATGGTGTATATGCATAGAATTTCTTTAATTATACATCATCTTAGACAAACTAAATGATAGACAATAAATTTTATTTTACAACTGCAATATTTTGCGTGTGTACTATTCATAAACATTAACTTTTTGTGTACTTTAAGTTTAATCTATCACTGTTCATACGTATTATTCATGCTGAGATGTAGAGATGAGGACAGAAAAGCAATTAAACTGCTATTGATCACACAACTGATCGATTTAATTTATCTTTTCTAATTAAATATAAATTGGAAGCCAGTTTGGTTTTTTCATGACTATTTTACAGCCGTAAAGTCTGTTGGTTTCTAATAATGATCTCTTCGATTCACTTTATCACTTAATATAAATTCTCTAATTTGTAAAGTAGAACAGCTGCTAGTAAGCAGAGTATTAAACGAAATAAGTTCTGTCAGGTATGTGATTCCAGGTATACAGAATCAGTATATCGCCGTACTGAGGCAATCAACACAACGTTTCTCAGTGGACAACCTTTTCAATCTAAAGTTACATGAAAACTTCATCATCTTTTTCTGTCAGAAATTGATAATATCCTTAGTAGCGTTTTACTGAAATCAATGACTACAGTGTTGAATCCACTCAAAAATTAATTCAGAAGCAACACAGTTTCGTATGAAAAGTATAAAAGATCAATCGTCCATCATTAGCAACCCGAACCCGATATCCTTTTTTTAAGTCTTCTGTCCAAAAGTATTTCTGGAGATATTAAAATACTATTTCTTTCAAGGAGTGATTCTACTGTATAATAATCATTAGAGTTATGATATTATTTTAGCATTTAATTGCATGTTGTCCTGCTGATGGGTTTCATAAGCATATTCTATTAATGTACTAAAGTGTACCTGTAATAAATTTTATGCTAAGCGCCAAGTCAGATAAAGAACGTAAATATTTGATGCGATTACTAACATTGCTTGTTGGCAGGACATTATGACTTAGTAATCACAAAATGACTTAAATCACTGAGTTAAAATCAAGTGCATAACATTGAGCAAAAGCAAACAGGTTGTTATTTCGCCAGTAAAACCAAGAGCATTAGAAGAAATAGTCACAGTGCCGTCATCATTATATTCTAATTTTGTTGCCTGACGCATTTTATGTCTTGAGTGGGCTATGAAAAAAGATCAGATGACGAGAATGAATCATAGATGAGAAAATAATAGTCTCCAAATGCAATCGCTATTGCAACACCACCTAGAAAACTTCATCTGTAGATTTCGTCTCGTATTAGATATTAATCTTGTGGTATGTGTTACTGTCCTATAATTACAACTTAACTCGATGGTATTATCCATAAAGTTATGGACATTCATTGACTGAGATTTCTAAGGCACATAATACAAATGTCCAACAACCGTCCAAATTAATGTTCAGCGCTGATTGACATTAGTTTTCAAAAAGAAATTTAGAGGTTATCAAGCCATGGTTAATATGGCTCTAAACCTCTAACAGGTGAGTATAGATTCATTCTTTATCTTCTTCTAAATTCTGAACTTCTACCTTTTCCGACTTCTTTTTAAAAGACTCCATTTATTCTTCTCGAAATATATCCTCCATCTTTTGTTATTTTGTTATAGTTGATACTACTGTCAATTCAATTATTTATTATCTTTTCCCTCTCTAATTGTACTGCTGATTTTAGAGTGTAGCAGTTTCTTGTAATATATATTCATGTCAAGTCCGCCGTTGTCAATGAATAACTTTTGGTCATAGCACAGGGTAATTGGACTTTAATTCTTCATAGAATCTTATGTTTCATTAGACTCATTAATATGCTCTATTCAGGCAGATCATCCTGTTTTACAGTTTTTACTTATGTGAGATAGACTTTCGTTGTTATCGTGAAATTTTCAACGTAATATTTAGTTGATTAGTGTAAATTATGAAGCATTCATTATTCTATATTTTAATTGTAGGACGTCTCCTTGAACAAGATAAGGTCATTTGATGAACAAATTAAATCATATAATTTCCAGTACTAATATTTGTAGTCGTGATTATCATCAGTATTTAGTTTTGTTCTAGTAAATATCAGTCTAAGTCTTCACAAATTTTATTATTCATTAATAATAGTACTTCTTATCGGTAGATTGAATATATGGTAAAATATTGTGTCTGGTTTTCATTACACTGTAACCTTTTTCGTGCTACAGTAATGATTTATTAATCCATCTAATTTTGTTTTTGTCTTTTTCAACTGAAGTTTCCATCCGCATACAAAACAAACTGAACAGAAACTAGTCAATGCTTTCCTGGCTAAAGAAGGCAAACAGAATGAAAATTTGAGTCGAGATGATAAACGAAAACCTGAAATGAATGGTTGTAAGTATCAGGACATTTTAGCAAAGAAAGACAATTATTGTTTTTTTAGTCTATTTGCTTTTCGTTTATGAATTCTTGCATTTTTTTAGATGATAAATGTCTACTGTTCAACCTGGTAATTAATGGTTGCCTAGTTAAAGACGATCAGTACTGTAGATTTTCTCTCCCTGACAGTTTGGTTGGACCAACTATGTCATTTGCTTTTACAACTTTCTGTAATATACTAAGTATAGCAAACACATACACACACAATTGTTCTAGACACCCATTTTTCTAAACCCTCACATCATCAATTAACTTACCTTCTTTTCCGAACATTTACTCTCAACTGTAATATAGTTCACTTAATTTATAGCAATGCAATGAATTTCGAAAAAAACCTATTTAACTCTTTATCAAGTTTTTTTTTAATCTAAGGAGTCGTATTACCTATTATAATATATTTGGACTAAATATTTATGCAGTACAATTTACGGTCTGATCAAATTGATTATCTCACAGATAACCATCATAATTACAGCCAATAAACATTAGAGCTTATCAGGAAAAAAAAGAACCCGTCTTTTCTTTTCATTTTCAAAATCTTAATAAAATGAAAACAATTTGAAATACATTTTAGCATTTTAGGAGGTGCATACATTATGAAAGTTAGAATAGACATACATTTAGTTAGTTAAAAATGTATACAATATGTTATATTTGTTTTATTGAATAATATTTCTTTATAGTCACAATTCAAGTATGTGCTAACTACTGATATTCTCAATGGTTCATGATTATATGAACTAGTACTAGTGAGAGACAGGAAGAGAAGGAGCGGAGGGACGATTGTACTTGTTGTCAATTTATATCACTCAGTGCAATTCATTTTCAGTTAACTCGTTTTAATATAGATGTAAGAAAACTATGCATGGACCAAATGTATAATGATTTAAGTAAATATTCATTTGACTGTTGTCTTCAGATCCTCTATGCAATGTTTTATTCACATTTGTTCAAAAACAGATCATGTAGAATTCTGTAGCCACACGATATTAACTGATCTTCACTATAACAGTAGTGATATTATACTTTTCATACAAGAGATGTGAAATATATACCGTTGGAAATAAAATTGTTTAGGTTTGGACGAAAATTTCCGAATTAAATCCTTCAATAATAGAGGTTACTTTGTGGAGATCATTTCACAAAATGAGTGAGCAAAAATAAACAGATTGAAATTCTAATTGACTAGCACTGATATTACAGTTCTAATATATTCTGGTTATATACATATGATTTACGCCAAATTCCATATAGACTTATGTGGCAATATGTAGATATATTTCTACTGGCTAATGCTTTCTTATTTGCATGTCGTAACATTGTATAATTATCAATGTTATTTATTAATATTATTATTATTTATTCATCACATTTGTTCAACATAGCCTGATATGCATGAGCTTGCCAGTTAATGGGTGTTGTTATTGTCGTCGAAAATATACATGTAACTGAGAGATTAAGCAAGAAAACTTGCATAACTGCTTGTTTTATTTTATTTATGTTCAAATAAACAATATATATTTCTTTATTTTAATCTTATTGTCCGATTGTGAATGCATCGTAAGGATATTTTGTTTAAATTATTGAGCTCATTTTTCATTGCATGCATTCACTCACCAGATATTGATAATTTAACAAAAATTCAGTTAAATCGTCTTACATCCAGTGAGAATGGAGAAACAACTCATAAACTGCCACATTTTGATGAGTCTTTAATCAATGGTCAAGTAGATAGTCCACATTACAATAATTCTGTTGATGTTGACAACAATGATGCGATGAAGACGTATCGTATAACACGTTCCAAAGGAATCTCGCTGGTGTATGATGAAGAATTAAGAACTATGGAAACTGGCACGTGTGATACTTCAATAAGTCCCACACTCCCATACGAAAATGGTAAGCTTCACAACTAAATGCTGTTTTGTGATCTTATATCTTTAAACACTTATTCATATCTAAAAAGAGATTAAATTCCATCACAATTTTCGGTTGCTACGTCCTTGATCTGTCTGCCCAGTAATATGGAGGAAAGAACTTGTCTCGATCTAGGTTCAGGCCTTGACACTATAGGCTAACTAGTTCAATCTTGAGTCCAAATTGAGACTAACACTCTCGGTCAGAGAGACGAAAACAATCCTATCGCCTGATTGGTTGACAAGTGAGAAAAAGAAAAAAATGAGCCAGCTGGTACACTACTTGACTTATTCTAGATTCAGATTCATATGAAAAGTTATATTATAAATAGATGACTAACACAACCACAGCGTACAAACATTTAGAAAAATACAACTTTGTCCAAATTAAGCATTAGGGTAGAAAAATGGAGTACAAAATGTTACGTTTAAATCACAATAGCTTTCGAACAGAAAAGATCATGGCAGAGAATCATACATAAAACTAAAGCGTATGGTTTATAGAACAACCTAGAGATAAAACTAAATCTTAGTATTTTACAGACTCTGAATTAAATGAAATAATGTCCTCTAAAATGGCCTCCGTTATTCGTCATGATTTCTTTATTTCTGTACTCATATCACTGATGAGAAGAAAGCGTTGGAATTCAAAACCTTATTGTAAATTTCGTTTGTACTACTTGTCTACAATCTCTCTCTCTCCAATGAAGAACATTAATATTTATACGTTCGAATAAACTACATTATGTTTTATTTTTTGACAACATTGTTATCACTGTGTTAAAGATCAGTAAGGACTGTTCCATTTGAAGTGAATTTACATCACGAACTAAATTTATTTTAGGAAAAAAGCTGATAAGCAAGAATCACTTGACATTTTATTCCATCCTAACTTTAAACTGCTCCTTTACATTAATAGCACATGATGCCATCCAAACGGAAACCAAAAAAATAACTGGTTCCTCTCAGTTTTCATTCTAAGTCAGTTAACTAGCTGTTACAATGACCGTTGTTTTACAAATTAGACTACAAATTTTATATTTTATTTGGAGTTAGATCGTTGTTTTTCCTTTTTAATAACTTGATCACCAAGTGGAAATTTTTCATGTTGTTTAATAATTATGCGATGCACTGCTAACAAAGTCATTAGTATTCATTAACTATTATGCACCTGAAATTTACTTGTCATATTTATCCATAATGTTTCCTAACGACCAATGTATTTACACATAACAATAATGCAATTATAACTGCTTATATATCTACCTTTTTAATGATACTCAACATTAGATGTTGTCAATACATTTTTCAGTAGTATCTATATGTTACAGTAACCATATTTTCTTTAATTCAGATAATACCTGTGAAAATCCTGAAAAGGAGGTTGATTTAACCCATTTAGACGTTACAGATACAAATTCAACAAGTTTGTTTACACTTGAATACATAAACTCGACCTTTGATATTACCGAACAGGATGAAAATTTAACACCTACCGAATTAAACTCAAGTTCAGATCATCAGTACTCTATTAAAGATGTGGTACATTTTACTTTTAATGAAGAAATCACCGTAGAATCAGATAGAAAGTGTACCTTAGATACACAGAATGGAATGAATCAAAGTGTTGGGAATGAAATATCACAAAATTCACATGATGTATCTGTAAATAATGGACATGTAGAAGAAGTGAATAACAAAGAATTTAATACTCAAAAAAGTGAGATGAGTATGTATAGTTATATTTTAATCAATAAAAAAATCCTAGTTTGTGAGAATTTCCAAATTAAGCGTATTCCAACTGTGAATTTAGGAGTATGTTAAAAATTGTTAACGATACATAACTAACAATGTGATTTATGCTAATTGATTTTACTTCTCATGTTAATATTGATATCCTACATTATAGTCAGTTTTTATTTCCCACTCATTTCAAGTTGTTAGAGTTTAGACAGTAGAAACCAACGAATAGGACAAGACACTGAGTCATGCATCACTTCTACTAACTGTCCGCCCGTCTCACATTTTTATGAAAGTGTTTTTCAGAAAGGAATCAACCATAGGAAACATGGTAAATGGAGAGCAAAACGTCTAGCATTAATGTGTTGTGCACACACACAAAAATTCATGAGTGAACGGAGGTCTGTCATCATCAATGAATGATATTTATAAGATTTCAACCAATCAATTACCTAATATCGATAACAAATCAGTTAGCTAGTGAACAATAACAATTGAGTGCCCATGTTGATCTGGTCTTTTATCCTTGATAAGGCCCTACTAATCACATTGTAACGTTGTCAATAAATAAAGTGACTAGATATTATGTGTACTATTTCCGGATGTTAAATGGCTGGAGGCTATCGACTTGAATCCCTGGACCTAGGGTTTATCTTAAATGCTAGATAAAATTCGATCAATACTAAGGATCAAATAAACATGACATTAGCCATTACTCATTGATTAATCAATGATAATTATCCCAGCTCTACATGATCTCGAAATAGTGACGACGTCGCAGACTGTTAATTTAGGTGATGCAGCTTTAAATTGTGTAGGAAATATCGTCTCCTCCAAAGTTACAGATTTGCTTAGCTGACAAGTGATAACTAACACAAAATCCTTATTCAAGGTCTTCTATCAACTACCTCCAACCACTTAACATCGTCATAAACAACCACTATAAATAATTATAATGATTAATCACTATCACATTATTATGTGCTCTAGATTTTTATTTTTGGTTATTCACCCACCCAAGACGTTTCTAATTCAAGGGACCAACATGCTAAACAATCCCAACTTCTATATAATATATTTTCATAAGTTAACAAGGAAAAAATCGTATGGTGATAAACCTTTTTGGTCATCATAACACTTTAACTAGATTTTTATCAGTCATTGGATAAATAACTTTTAATTTAATATTACGTCAATGAAATGGAGAGTTCTATTTTTATTATTATTCCTAGTGAGTTACACGGGTTTATGGGCTCGAAACCCGTTGAGTTTACGAAAGATCTTTGGTCATTGTATACTCTCCTCCATCATTGTCCCCACATAATGCATAATTTATACAAACTGAATTAAGTTGGGTATTTTTTATTTGTATAAAAAACATATGACTCTCGTTTTTAAGAGTAAAGCCCGGTGAGGACCTAATTTTTTAAAATAAAAACAACACAATATTGTCCACTTATTATTTTAATTTACACAATTCCAATATTCCATTTTTCTTCATATATTCTATACACAATTACATAACTCAAGGACAACTTATCATTATCATTAATCAATCAATAATTAATTAATTAGTAATTAATTCAGTCATGTTTACTTTTAATATTTCTTATTTATGTTTTCTTTTATTGTATAAAATCAATTTTTTTTGTTTTAGCTTTACTTGTAACCAAGCAAACTATCATCAAATTTTTACATTTTATCATTATCATGTAAAGTTTTATTCAATGCAAATATGAAATATGAAAAGAGGTTTACAAGCTTATAACACTATGCTGAATAATGCTTAATGCTTGCATGATATAATGGCTTGTATTGCTATCATGAAATTATATGTATCACTTAAATTGTTTGTTTGTTTTTTCCACCGAAATTTCTTTATTATTTATTTTTTGATATGAGCATATTTGATAGTTCGTCATGAGAATATGAACAAATTATATTTATCAGTTACAGACTTTCCTTTCGCTCTCTTGCTTTCGCTCTCTCTTCTTATTTTGGAAGGGTTGAATTTTCTACCTGATCGGTTTAGGGATAGTTCAAAGTAATTTAATTATTTTTAAATGTTTAATTTAAATTTATTTATTTTTATATTCTATTATATGTTTATTATTTCAAGCTGAATCTATGGATGATGTGAAAGGCAAAGCTATCGTTGTACCCGATAGTCCAATTGCTGGATCATTAAAGAATAAAATAGAAGCACTTAGTCGTGCATCACAAAAACAATCTGAACATTCTACACCGATTAGTCCACCATCAGTTACATTATCTAATACAACTGGAACAGTGCATTTATTGAAAGAAAAACATTCATCATTTGAAAATGTTAGTTGATTTTCATTGATACTTATATTATCTTTGCTAATTTGATTGTTTTATGTTATTTATTTTATACGATGTATAAATATTATTCAATTGTTGATGTTGTTAGGAAACGGGTACTAGGTAAGGATGGCAAATCAATTAATTAAGTAGTGAAACTTCATCATTTGAGATGGCTAGGACACGTGTTACGTATGCTCAACGACCGACTGCCTCGACGTGCGATGTTCAGTGGTATAGGAGTAGGTTGGAAGAAAGATAGGGGCGGCCAGACCATAACATGGCACAAATCCATGAAGTCACTGACAAGTGGACTGTGTCATGTTGGTAGGTGTAGACTACCTGGTTGGGGACCGCGAGATAATAGCAACCGATTGTTAGAGACCCTGAATGACATGGCTCAAAATCGTTTGCAATGGCGCAGGTGCATACACTCTTTGTGTTCTCCCAAATTTTGATCTCCTTATTCCTCCTTGTCTCTTTTTTTTTCTCCTCCCAAATTTATTTCACTAGAATATACTCTTTAAATAACATCTCCAAACCCTAATGTTTCTAATTACTGCTTATACTCTTACTACCTCTACCACTGTGGGATTTGAATCGACAACTGCATATCTGTGCTAATATGTTATGGCAACTCGAACTGATGTACGTATGTACGAAGTTCTACGTTGTTACTAACTGTTGTAATCTCTGAGCTAGAAGCATTATTTGTAAAACTTTCGGTGTTCAGAAAGACTGTAAGTTTTATAATTCAATTATCTAACTCAAAAGGCATAACATCAACAAAAGGCCCTTAAATGAACTGAAAAGCTTGTTTACCAGATCAGTATATTCATTTGTGGTAATATGAGATTAATGTTTAATTGAAACGTTTCCATTTATTGATGTAAATTAAGATCAGTCTTTGTGACAGATTAACCAATCGATTAGCAGTGAGATGTCATGATCTGCTGTCACTGATACGAAGCATCCATATAATCATGGACATTATTTCGACTGATGGATCGTCAAAATCCTGGATCAGGAAAACTTCAAGAATACAGGAGAATTCATAAAGGCATTTTCTCCAGATCGATTAATTCTCAACCTGCACATTGACAGATCGAATCTATCAACCTTTATAGATAAGATCAGCTAATTACAGATGTCAACTGACAAATACAGTCAAGTTAGACATAAATACAACTTAGGACAACAAATCTACGAAGAAACCTAATCTCAATCAATACCATCGGTTCGAACTAATGCAACACCTGTAGAATAACAGAAAATCTCATTTCCTCATTAATTAGGCGTTGAGAATGCCGTTCAGAGTGACAGTACAAGCCCTACAAATAAACTATTTAACTCAGAGAATAGAACATTACCGAAAGACAGACAATATGGTTTTAAATAAATTAATGACGTTTACGGTCGGCAAATAATCCACCCACTCACGAAGTTAAAGCATAAATCACAACTACTATTCAATCTCCATTATAATAATCATCTAGGTGTATATTGTGAAATCAACTGTCACCTCGCATTCAATTTGTAAGGGTAAACGTACTAGTTGGCAATAGCTCAGTCGTCTCGAACTGATGTTTAAACAATATAACTTATCAACCAAGTGTATTGCTCATGTATATGATTTTGTATCAGTTCAAATGGTACTATCCGACTACTTAAACCGAACTAGATTAACCATATGCTCTTGAAAGTTGATTAGGCAACTTTCAATGCCATTTCCCTATAGTTACCCTAAAATAACTGATTACTCTTAAGAAATATTATTGCAGATCCGACAACTTTTGAATTAAAAATAGATTATTTAGTGAGTTTTAAAAATTTTATTTACTGCGTTTATTCATTTCATTTATTTATAAACTGATTCAATTACTAGTCAATAATTTTGTTCATTACTATACAGATATCATATATTGTTGAGCAACATAAAGATGTTATGATAGCTTTACGATTACAAATCTCATACAACGAAAAACGTTTGTGAGTGATAAAGTTGAGATTTAGCCTATCTCACTAATAGTTAGATACACAGATAGTATCTACCTAAGATCCAAGTCAAATGTGTATCAGTTCAAGTTTCTGAATTTCACATAAGTCTCTTAAAGTTTACTTTTTTATTTATTGACTTTATTTGGGCAAATAGATTGGTACATCCACAAGTAATCTGATTTTGCGAAACTAGCTATCTTATTGTATCTACATGAAAATGTCACTGGCAACTAGCTCACTTGTAAAAGACAATTGATTCATTTACTTTAGCTTTGTTATCCAAACTCTATTCAGTTATAACTGTGCACCGATCCTTGAACGTGAGTTTTCAATTTCAAATAACAGAATGATAATTATATTATCATATTTTTCAACTTTGAAATTCTATCCTATTTTTTTATTATTCTTATCTCTTTATATTCTTGGTTTTTAAATAAATCTTAAAGATCATCTGAGAGGAACTAAATGTTTCTCTTAGCAGCAACCAAGACTATGACTATTTATATTTATCTCGTGTTATGTTCAATAAAATAACTTATGATAACAGACATTTGTAGATCCAGATGAGGATGTTGCATAATGTTGTATTGTCTGAGCTCTCAATATAACTTATTCCCATTCTCTGAATTAAAAATTCAATTTGACATTATTTTAGATAAGATTATTTAATCCTTTTTTTGTGATATTTTTCTAATTTTTTATGAATTTAATTTTATATTCTTGATATAGGCTGAGGAACCGGTAAAACCTCAGCTACCACGTGAACGTACTGGTAAAATTTTGTCGGTCAAAGATCGTTTTGAATCAGGGATATCAACAAAACCACCAAGTTCTCCTGGCTCTTTAGTATCTCCTAAAAAGGTTAGTTTTTGAAAATTATAAAAATTCTCATCGAGTAAATTAGAATAGTAGTTCAGTTATATCTTCATCAGATTTTAGTCTAGTATGCGGCAATCCTTATATCCATATGAATGAAAAATATTAAAACAATGGATTTGGTTTGTAAGTCAGTGATAATTATGAATTAGATTACATAACTAATCATAATTAACAAAAGGTATTAACTAATATTAAGATAAGTAAACTAGTTTTGACGAGAATAAAAAAAGCTTGGATCATTGTTTCAGTCTAGGAAGTAGGTCATAAGTTTGGGAAATAGACATTAAGAAAATATGATTATAAGAAATCGTTAAAATTACATCATGAGAAGTTTTCAGATAATCAGATAGTGGGATATATATAAGCGGTTGAAGAAAAATAAGTAGAAATTCCTTTAGAAAATCAATCTTTAATCTTGACGTATCAAAGACGGCTGGTAGTTTCGAATTCTTATAACTTCTACCATACGTAGGAGATGAAATCGAACGCCGTTGGGAAACGATGATTGTATGCGGTAGATCACTTGAAATGATTTAGTTTTATTTACTACATGACCACTGTTGACCATGTGTGATATAATGGAGCTGAGTATTGTCTTTATTTGACCCTTTCAAACAATTTTGCTAATTTTTTCACATACTCTGTTTGTTTTATTCTTTGTCCCCTTCCATAGAAAGTGAGTATATATATATATATATATATATATATATATATATATATATATCTTGTTGCTGTCAAGGTTAATAATATTACTCTACTCAGTAATAATGTACTCATAGTAGCGATTTTTTACATATACTCTTGTTACTAAAGAAACCTTACTAGTTCTTACAGACCCACTTATCGGTGTATACCACTGGTCAGAATCATTATTCGGTCAATCGATTTCAATTATTGTATATTTGTCTCAATTAGTTTACAAGATCAATTGGCTAATTGTTGCCTATTGATTAGTGAATAAAGTCATAAATAAGAACCCGTCAGTTGGGTGATATAATTAACTATTCAGTCGTCAAATAACGGTCTTGAAAAAATCTATTCAGTTTATAACTAATAGATTAGTTAATTGGGACTCATCTGTAAGTCATTCATATTAAGTGATCTGTAGAGTCCCCAAAACATAAGTAGTACGCGACTATTGAGGCGTACCTAATTTTTATAATAGATCATACTTTATCTTCTGATATTGTCTGATCAGGTAGTTCATTTCCTAACAGGTAACTACAGAACAAACAACTACACCAGCCAGTTCAATACTAGGAGAATCAGAAACTAATGTGGAAACGTTTTGGCAACGTTGTTTGGATAAAGTTAAACGACGGCCACTTCGTCTGAAAGATTTAGACTTTACTGATCTTGAAGCCGAAGAACAAGAGGATGGTAAAGAATCACCTAGATTGCTAGGTCCTGGACCGCCACCACCACCATCTTTTCGAGGTGGTCTTCCTCCTCCACCCCCACCACCTGGAGGGTCTGGTGGCCTACCTCCACCCCCTCCTCCACCTCCAACTGCTTCAGGTGACCATACTACTTATATTAATAATTTTGTTAGCATTATATTTTATCAATCCAGTTATTCTGCTTTATCGTTTAGAATTTTTTAGTGCGGAAAAATTGAAATTATTTAACCCTTTACTTTTGATTTAATGATAATGTTTCGGTCAAAGCAACTTTTCTAAAATTCAATGTTAAATGAGCTTATCATGTCAAAAATAAAAGTATTACATGCTGTACATTTTCTTGCACAAGTGCCTAATTCATGTTTACCCCTGCATTATGGAGTAAAGTTTTTAATTATTTGAGATGAAACTTCGGTTGTCAAAACAGCGAACAAATTGCTAATTGATTGATAATGCAGTATGATGTAATATGACCAAGTAATAGCTACTCACAAAAATGAATCATTAATATAAGCCCTCGAATAATTAAAAATTAAAAGCAAGATCACTAACCAGACGAATAGAATTTATGCAATAAAATAACATACTTATATGTAGAGTACGAACACTAAATAAACATAATAAAATGTTATAGGCGATTTCAGGAAATTAGCTTGTAGGTCACTCATTTTTCAATCATTTAAGATCTGAATGTTAAGCTAGATCTTTAAACATAGTATCAATCCCAATCTATATATGTTTAGCTTCTACACATAAATCTCATCTTTTCTTTCTATTTTTAGGAGGTGCTCCTCCCCCACCACCACCAGCTCCTGGTGCTAGTGAATCTTCAAGTATACCTTCGAACCTTCCACCAGCTCCTGGTACAGAGTTGCCTAAGTCAAAGAAAACTATTCGTCTTCATTGGACTGAATGGAAACCAACTGCGAAAGATTTAAAACTGATCGCATCAACTAAGTCTTCATCATCATGTGATAAACCAGATAAAGCTACGGGTATAGGCAGTAGATTCACTTCTGCTTTATCGAATAACAAAACAAAAGAAGTGAAAAGGGACGTGAAAACTATTGCAAATGCTACAGTTTGGTCTGAAATTGTTCCAGTGAAATTAGATCCAGATTTTTTGGAAGAAACATTTGAAAATCGTTCATCTGACATAAAAATAAAGGTATTTGTTTAATTTATTAAGCTTTAAAAGGATATATGTAATATTTAATTAGTCGTTTATGGATTAATTGTTTTGTTCTTATCATAATCCCTACACCATAAGTGTAAGACTTCAATAAACTTAACAGATGTTGTGATAGATAATCGTATTACCGACTATCCAGCTTCCTTTTAATGAATGAAACATTTGTTTTCATTCTCCGTCCAGTCCTCATAGTGACGACTCATTTGTTTGTCCGTTTCTTGAGGGAGATTTTTTCACTTCTCAATGTTAAATTAGTTATCATACTTTGATCAGATGTTGAACGAAGCACTTGTAAAGATGACTATAGTAAGAGACTGGTACGGAGTTAGCCACAACCGTCTGCCAGAAGCGTGTCAATGTAGCTTTGTTCAGCATTATGAATGAAAAACACGAATATATTGATTTGTCAGTTTTTGAAATGGATTCTTGAATAAAAACTACATTTTAATATACAACACTCAGCCACCAAACAAATAGAAAATGGCTGTAATCATTAAATACAACTCATGTATCGAACATTGGAAATGTTATGGAAAACAGAGTCATGAATTGTCGTTTAACGATCATTTCCTCTATTACTAATACGTTTGACGTACACAGTAGTAAGTAAATACCAGTGTATGCGAATCCACATTTTAAGTTAGTTCACAATAATAGCTTGATTTTCAGCCAACGATTTATAGACTGGAGGAACTAATATTCGTTATACATCCAGCTAATTAGTCCCAAATCGAACGAAACGTGCGTCCTAGATTCCACTGTTAATGATTATCCAACTTTACTTAAAACATTTTTTTTTAATTGTTTTAAATTTGATATATTATAATTTGTACACTTCATTCAGTGATTAATGCCAAATCATAGAGATGTATATCGATAAACTCCCATTGAGAATATTCTCAATTAAATAGTGCTATTAAGATTTATTTGAAATATTCATAATAATAATGTGAACCAATCAGGAAATCTATCATTTGCATGAAACACGGTTTACTTTCTTTCTCTGCGTACTCAAAATTGTTCACCCTTATTGTCTTTACCGTTTTCGTATATTCATTAAACATTTCCTAATTTATTATTTGCTTTCTAACGCTTTATATAATTGTTATTTTAATAAAATACACTTGTAAAAGGATATGGTAAGTGCATGAACCGTTTTATATACAATATATACATATACAAAGTATATTTGTTATTAAATATAGGTTTTACATTAAACATGTCATTATTGATAAAAGTTGTTAATATACTAGCATCGTTTTATTATAAGATGTACATTTATTCATTATCAACACTTGTGTGTGGATTGATGATATACCATGTACCGATTAATGTGCAACTTGTTTATGTGTGTGTTCGTTAACTGGTGCCTTTACTAATTATCTCACTGAATAGATTGAGATAGCTGCTTGTATCTTAGATTTTCATTTATAATCAAATATTTTAACATTGAAAGAATTTTAGATCCCCCATAACCAAATATATATATGTATATATATACATCTCAGAACGAAACATACAATGCAGTATGTCCCATATATTTTTACTTTTGTGTATATGTCTATTATTGTATGTTCCCCTCCCTACAGATGACTATGTATGCCGATATATTTGTATATATTTTTTATCCTTCTACTTATGTAAACTGTAGTGTAGTTTGTTCAATGTCATATTATCTCGGTCATTGTAATTTAACAATACGCATAGTCATTGTTCATTACACACATAGAATATCTTTGAATACATTTTTTCTTCTTGTTTCACCGACTCTTAACTAACGTCGTAAAGGTTACTTGCTAAATTGTCTGAAATTATGCACGTCTTTATATAAATATATAAGGATCTTTTATCTATTACTCACATAAAATGCGTGGCTCATAGATCTATACATGAGCCCCCAGCTTGTTTCTTTTTATCTTCTTCACTATTTCTTTAAATTTAATATCGAAGTGTTCAGAGTTGTTTACACCGAGATACGTAATTGACACTTTGAAATTATTTTTACCAAAATTCTTTCAAATATACACAATGAAATAAAACATTTTTATATCAATAAGTAGATATCACTCTGAGCTAAACACTGTTGATCATGTTGCGAATTTTCAATCAAACCTAAATGTCAGTTATAATACCTCACTTTAAACTCAGAAACAATCTAGGAGAAGTAGCCAGGGAAAGATTTTTTTAATGTTGTATTATGATTACTCTTAGTTAAAAAAACATTTATTTTAGTATCTGAAACATTTAACTTTATAAAATGACATCCAGTTTAGATCATGATTTATTCACTTTCATGTTTTAACTAGCCGGTGATTCCCTTGCTAATGATAATACTTTACACATCCACCATGTTAGTTGCCAAATTGCTATCAATCCATATTATCGGTGTCGCATGGGAGTGGTACACTGCCTAGCTGTGAATATCTTCGATTATAACCAACAATTTTCGACAATAAGCATTAATTTTTTAAAATTCTTTTTCTGTCCTAAATAATAAAATTGATCATAATTCAAGTGAAGAGGTTGTATTATAGTGAACGAGAACACAAGTGGGGGCAATCGAATGCATTCGAGTACAAAATTACAGAACGTCTTAGTAAACCATTCAACAACGTCTTTAACAGTTGAATTCACGAGTCAATCTAAGCTAGACTACCATTAAAAACCGGGAAGCACTGGACTGCTGTTTCATCCTGGTGTGTGACTCCTCAGCAGTTGCATCCACGAAGCCGCTTTCCAGTGCTTTCAGGTTTACAATGGTGATCTTACTTAGATTGACTCGTGAATTCAACCGCTAAAATATTGCAATCTCTACAGGTCCATATACTTATAATATCGTTATCCCTTGATTTTGATTTTCAACATGTTCTCCCCTTTTGAAATTTCAAGGTGATTTTTCTCATGAACTATCATTATTTGGAAATTTTTTGAAATCTAAACAGTATAATATTATTTTAGGACACTCAGTGCCTCCCATAGCTTGGAATGATCTCAGTAAGTGCAACGCCGTCTAGTTAAACTGACTACAACTTGACTGTGTTGTATTCTCCCTCAGTCAATCAATAGGTTCACTGGTTGACATCTATTGCTTAGTTAAAAGTATAGATCATTTAGTTGTAATTTGATCAAACTAGATGGCGATTTTTTGTGGACTGATTATGGGATTGAAAAACGTCTTAAACAATGTTTTTTTCTTACTATCTGAATGCTTCAAATCATTTCACACTGAAAAAGTTTAGGCGGAGAGAAAAATTATTTTTTTACTGATTGATGTTTTGTATTTCAATAAGATAAGACAGTTGTAGTTGGGATCAAAAAAGATTCGGTTCCATATGTTTGTCAGTAAAAGACAATGATCATCCAAATTATGAAATCTCATATCTTTTAAGGTATCTACGATTCTGATTCTGTTTGCTACCGGCCATAATAAACACTTACTGATTATCATGAGAAATTGCTAAAGGATAATAATAAATAGTTACGGTTTAAAATTACAACAGACTAATTTTTTTTAAAAACCAGACCAAAACATACTACTGAAGCGAATTAGGGCCATGTAAGGATGAAAGGTTGAACTTATCGTTTATACACGCAGAGTTCAAGCTTGAATTGGTGGATCGCCAACACTAACTTACATATTTACCAAACAACTATAAATACGAATGTACAACTTAAGTAAAAGAATTTCGTCGAAAAGAAAATTTTCTTCGCTGAATTCTCTTTATTTTTTATTCAATGACACAATGGGTTATTATTTTTTTAAATCTACATTAATTTTTAATGATTTTCTTATTCTGGATGGAATCTTATCGTAAGTACTATATGCCATTCATAGTTCAAATGACAATATATTAGTTTTTCAATTTGGTATTATTGCAAGACTTTAGTTCATAATAAGCATTTTAATATTATCACTATCGTCTTTATTACTACTTTGGTTATTTTCAACGTTTTCTATCATGAAAATATGTTCAGTAGTTGTTATTATTGATCATTGACTAACTGTGTGTGTGTGATCAAACGACTTTAAACAAATTCCAGTTTTAATGCAAACTCCTCCTTCATACTATCTCTAATTTGGAATTCCTTTAAATTTTATACTGTATGGACATTTTCTTTCAACAAAATTTACTCCTTAATAAATATTCTATATATAAGTTTGAGTTTCATTTCATTCACAAAAGCATGAAATATGGCAACGACAATTCTGTCGATTAAATGTATCTATTCCTATGTATTTGTGTGTGTGTGTATGCTGAATTCACTTTTAATTTTAACATTTATTTATTTATTATCATCATTTCTATGAAGTACTCATGACTTTCTTACGATGTGAAAAATTAACAGTTTATTCAATAGTAGTATGCGTATTACATTTCTAATGATTCATCCAATGTCTCTAAGATGAGAAGAAAACTAATAATATATTACTTTTTTTTAAAGAGATGATCACTCATTTGTTTGTTGCCTTTAGTGTTTTTTTATATTCTTTATTCATTTTGTCATGAATTCAATGACAATTTTATTGTCTATATGTATTCGTGTGAAAATTTAACAATGTTTAGCTTTCAAAATAGGGGTTTGCGCAAGAGCATGGATCGATTGAAGTTAGACATGAACACTGTTGGATACCAGCTCAGTGGTTTAGAGGTTAGGCATTCGTGTGTGAGACGAAAGGGTCTTGGTTGGAGTCCAGAGTGTGGGGTCGTGGATGAACACTACTGATGAGTTACATACTAGGAGGAAATGGTTGTCCAGTGATCCCGGGTTTTCAACTGTGGTTTAGCTTTGGTCGACTCATGAATTCAACTGTTGAAATGTTTACTTTTATTATTTCTCAATAATTTTCTCCATATTTTACTAAATAATTTACATAACTAAGAAAAACACCATGGTCTGCAGATGTGGTCTGATCATAATTTTTGTTGTGTTTTATACAGTTACTATTGTTTTTTGTTTGGTGCCTCTTTATTTTTACAAGCCTATTTCTTTGTTTTAATTGTTCAATGGTTCTCGATTACTGATGAAAATAATCTTGTGTGTATAGCTTAAAATCAGTGATCGAATCCTTTCTCTTAAACTGAACAATAATGATAATAATTATATTGATGCGTTTTCTATTAAAATAATGTTGGGATATTGAATGTTCCTATGTGAATTGTTTCTTTTCTTTTGTACGTCTTCTCTCCTCTTATTATTTATCGGATATTTGTTATTGCATATTATAAAATAATAAAACAATGAGTATTCAAATGAATGGTAGAAAACATGAAGTTCTGTCATTGTGAACTTGAGGATTCCGTGCATTTTTTTGAGGAGTATAAATCGTCTAATTTCATTTCTTTTTAAAGCTTAGCATAATGTCTAAAACTGTGAGACTGAGTTATGTGGGTTTGAATAATCAGTTTCATCGAGAATATAGGTGCACCTTGCTGATGAGTGCCAAACAGCACGAAATCTCGGTCAATCAGAGTCTCCTTAAACTACTTCCAACCACTTATCGAGTCACTTAGACCAGTGGTCACATTGATACTTGACCTATGGGATTCAACCAGTACTAAGAAGGACTTGACATACATAATATTGGTCACTACTTAATGTTCAATCAGTTGTAAGCTTAACGTCAAGACTTAAACTAATTTAGTTAGACATCAAAATAGTTCAGTCACTGTAGTTACTTTCGTCATGAACCGACAACATCAGTTAAATGAAATTTTGAAAACAAGAAATTCGTGCAACTCTCATCCGGATTTGGGGATTTTTCAGTAGTGCACACTCAATCTCACAACTGCAATGTGACCAAAGAATCTAAAACAAATTTTCTTATTTGTTCTATTTCCGTGGTTCCATGATTGATATCGATCTATGTTTAGGCTGTATTCTAATTGCTGAAAACACTATAAGCTTCACAATTTAGTTGTCTGATGTATTATCTCAGAAATATTTGGTAAATACTACTAACTTTAAGCATGAATATAATAAACAAAAGCTATAAAATCGATGTTGTCAAGTTTTTTGTAAAAAAGATTCTCAGTGAAATTTTTTTTGTAAAAGAGTAAGAGTATAAAACCTAGCCCTTTTATTGATAAGAATTACAAAATCAATCCCAATTTTATCAAATACTTGTCTATGTATCTAATATATTTGAGAACTGCTGCCAATTAGTTATGAAATGGTCAGCATAGAAGGTATTCTTTTATTACTATCCACACTGAAAGTGTAACTATTCAAAGTAAGACTGATATTCATGTTCATGGCCTTCAATTTTAAGATGGAACAATTGGCTGACAAGGATAGTTATTTTTTACAACAAAAAGTACACACTTATATGTGGCATATTTAACAAAGTACATGGTTATAAGATATTGCCTTTATAGATCAGTCATCAACTTAGAAATAAAAAACAGCGTTCACATTTACTTATTTTTTGCTATGTCATAATGCTTTCGCCTGATATGATCTCAATTTGTATTTACACTAAACACATCATGGTAACGTTATTATTCAGCACAGTGTGATCCATATTTTCTGTATTCTTTACTATCATTTAATCGTCCAATTTATCTAGTTTAATAAGTAAATGTATGATCGAATTGCCCCAAATATATTGTGCTAGTAAATATCTCATAGTTCTGATATACTTGATACTTTCTTTTCATTACCTAAATATCTATCATAGGAATTAATTGTTTTAACTAATATGATAATATGTAAACTATCATTTAATTACATTAACAACATTGAAATAATATCAACTTCATTAAAATAATAAAAAAAGTTTGTTCGTTTCTAACACATTAATAAGTGGTCCGTTTCTTTCCCTTTGTAATGGACAGTTCTTCAGTTGTAATTTTGATGGTTATTTTTTTAAATCATGTATTCATATAACTTTATAATCCCTTAGTATGCTTTAACCATCTATTAATCTATTCAGTTGACATTACATAACCCCATTTCCCTCTTGACTGCTTTTATATAGATTAGTTCCCATTTCCTGTAATCCAAACTATATATATATATATATATATATATAGGAGGGGGCGTGTAACCTCTGATATACTGTAGATTGTGCCTATATATTTAGTGACAGTTTGGATATATATTCATTTGATGTTTATACCATTAATTTATTTTTTTAGAAACAAGAGGTGGCTGTCAAAAAAATTGAAGTTTTAGACATGAAACGTTCAAATGCAATCAATATTGGTTTAAAAGTTTTGCCACCACCGCGTACAATCAGTTCTGCAATTTTAAAAATGGATCATTCAATTATAAATAGAGAGGGTATCGAGGTAAATTGAATTTAGATTTCACTTTTTATGTTTATAATAATTACCTCTTTTTCTTAAATCAGTTTTGTTTTATGTTGTCGTTAAAAGTAAATATCTAAATTGGTATTGTTTACTTGAATCTTTCCAATGATGCTTATGACAGCAGTTGATCAGTATATTATTGTCATATGTGCATACTGTGCGTATTGCCTTAATTCACAAGCATTATAAGCAATGATGGATAATGGCAAGCAGTGGAATTCAGGACGCGCGTTTATTCCTATCTGTGAATTAAGAGAATGTCGAGGAGATACGCACAGGATGCATATATGCCAAAAAGAAACTGATCAATTTGCAATCCTAAACATCAATGGGAAGATTCAAGTAAACAATATCAAGTGAATTTAAACTTTATCCTATTGCACAAGCAATTGGTTATCAGGACTCAGTAGCTAAGTGGATAATGTGATGGCGTTTGAAGCGAACGGTACTGAGTTCAAGTCCCAGAATGAACATGAACTCTGAAATGCAGGCACATCCACCTGACGAGTCCCAAATAGGACGAAACGCGCATCGTGGATCCCACTGTTAGCCAATATCCATCTTTGCTTATAAATATCTAAATTGTTTAAACTGTTTTATGTGAAATTTTCGTGAAAATTTTAAATTAAATACATAAATTAAGAGTTCATTAAAGTAATAGCTCAAACTATTATTATTATTAATGGCATTATTCACGGATAAACTAATCACTGCACTCAGATTGAAAAGAAATGAGAACACACTATAATAATACATGAATTACGAAATAATTTTTATCAAATAATGTAAAGCAATTAGTCCCTTTGATAAATTTCGATAATGTAATAAGAAAACGAAGACATTTCTAACAATCTGACCACACATATACTTGTTAAGAGCATTTATATATATATATATATATATATATATATATATATATATTCGGCTATTTGGACTAGTTAGATGCTTAAAAGTGGAGTGAGTGGATTGGGATTTTAACCTACAACCTACTAATGTAAGCTTAGATACGCTTATCATTAAGTCATCATCTCCTATTGATAGGTTTTACAGGAATAATAATCATCTCTCTTTGAATTTAGCATTATACACTATCGAACTTATCATTATTTATTATTATTACTAATACTATATCTCTTCGTAACGTTTCTTTTTGTAATTATTGTCATTGCCAGAAACTTTTAACAACAATGCTACCAACAGATGAAGAATGTGAAGCTATAATGAAAGCAAAAGCAGAACAAGATGGATTACCACTTGGACAAGCTGAACAATTTCTTGTTACATTGTCAGCAATAAGTCATTTAAAGCCACGTTTAGAACTATGGTTATTCAAATTGGATTATGAACAGAATGAAAAAGAAATAGCTGAACCGTTAAATGATTTAAAACAGGTAATTGTAATCTACTGTTACTTGTGAACTAGAATATATTTTAAATGTTATTCCATATGATTAATTAATTGATTTATTTGATCAATGTACACTAAGTGTTGTTTTAATAAACAGGGAGGAAAAATTTGAGGTAAAACTGTTTAAAGATGTACGCTTTGATATTATATTAATGATGACAGTTAATTTGAGGAACTGGCGAACAACAAGTCTACATGGAAAGGAGTGTGCAATTCTATTTAATCAATGGGTATATGTCATTTAATTGAACGGGTTAGCTTTGTTGATAGAGTTTTCTCAGCTTTCAAGTTGTGTGTAGATTGACATCTTTTCGATAGGATCAAACTAACTGGTTTTTTCTAGTCACATTTAAAATACCCTAGAAAAGAATTCGACTTCATGCTAAGTTAGACATTTTTAGAGGTCGTAAACTTGAATCAGCGTGAAATGCCATACTGTATTCCATAATATTTGAGTCAAATGTGATCATAACAAACGTGTTGATTTTGCTTGTGGAAATTTATTTTGAACTATTTAGCCACTAACTCTTAACTCAGTCATCCATAGGTTTATAGAATGTATGGATTGCGGCAGACGGTAAAATTTAAGGTGCGTGTTTCTACTTATTTAGGACTTGTTAAGTGGACGTACCCGACCCCTAGTGTTGGTGTTAACAACAGGACTTGAACCGGGTCCCAGTTTTCGATTTCAGTTCCCCAATGCTTTTTTAATTAGTTTAAATTAGTTCTCCACCAGTTAAATACGTATCTGATATAAAGACATTTTTTGGTTCTACACATTATGGAAAGCTATTTTAAATGAAAGTTAACCAACTTATTACTTTCCCCGTACTCTCTATTCTTTTCATCGATAGGCTGTTATAGAACTTATCAATTGTAAAACTTTACGGTATATTCTATCCGTTCTTTTGTCTATTGGGAATTTTTTAAATGGTTCAACTGCTAGAGGGTTTACGTTGGATTATCTAGGTCGGTTACCTGAAGTGAAAGATACGAAATATAAGAATAGTTTGTTACATCACGTATGCTCTATAGTATTGGACCAATTTCCTGATAGTACGGGTAAGTTATTCACTAACTTTCTAGTTTGCATAAGCCGTATTGTTAATTAATTAGTATATTATTACTAATACTCTATCACTTATAAATGTTTTTACTAACATAAATCTCACTAAGTGCAGTAAATAGTATCATATAGTTTAGTCCTTAGTTATGATTAACTCTATCGATCAAGTCTATAATTTGACTACCAAGTAGATAACATGACATTACGATGTTATATGCTTGTAAGCGAATGATGGAAAACCCCAGATGTGGACTCCATATTGGTAATCACTTCACCAGGGGTGTATACCTGTAATCTTAAAAATCTTCATGTCCCCTTTGAAGATTTGAACTAATTCATTCAATGCCATAGTCGAAAAACTAAAGTAACGTAATCAAGGATAGGTTTTGACTTTAAATATACAGAAAACTATTCAACGAAATCATTTTCTGAAGCTGTACATTCGTATATATAGTTATCTGGAAGATATATGTCTACAAGAGAATAGAAAAGATTGCATCATAAAATGGATTCGAGACTAAATAACAAATGAGGTTACATACTAATCAAGGGATAAGTAAGAAAATAGTTTATGGGTCAGATAATAGTCCAACGACAAACACAAAGGTCATAATGATAGACTGAATAATAATCAAGAAAACTTGTATGACGTAATAGTAATAACTGATTAGAGTTTAAAATTGCAAAATAATAAAATAATTAAAAAAATCAATAATAATCAAATAAAAGTGCAGAAAGAAATGCAGAAAAAAAACCAGAAGCATACTCACTAAGGGAATCACGGCCAAGGAAGGATGAGAGGTTAGGCGAATCGTTCCTGCACATAATGTTTATGTCCGAGTTCGTGGATTGCCAGTGCCTCAGCGGTACATAAAATATTGATTCGACACCCCTTCGATCCAGTTCCTTCGACTCTGTAGATTACTTTAAAAGAAGAATCTTGTGAAGCGATGTGTCAACAATTAAATAAATGTTAATTAAATGTACAGAACGCATCTCAGAACACTATCCGGTTTGGCTTTTAAAATGAGAATGTAAAATAATTACTAGTTCTATATAGGTCATTTGTCTACTTTGTTTCCTATGCAGATTTACATTCGGAATTAGGAGCATTGTGTCGCTGTCATCGAGTTGATTGGGATGAGTTACCGAAACGTTTGGAGAAACTAGAAACAGATAGTAAACGATCTTGGGAACATTATCGATTAATATTCAGTTCTGAAAAAGAATCAAATAAAAATATCAAGTAAATTTCATTTGCTTTCACTATTCATTCATATTATTCGTATATACGTATATACATATTGAACAAATTGGCTGTTTGTTTCTTTGTGGAATGTTGCCGAAGGTGTGGTCTATTGTGATAGTTACTTATTGTTCCATTTTTGTTTTCCTGAGGTTGAATAAAATCTTAAAATCCTATTATACCCATTTATCAGAGTTTTCTCTAAAAAGAAAATACTTTGACATGTCTTGTTTTTAAATCCTCTTAGATCTGTTTGTCCCTATCTAATATCTTGGATAAACTTTTGTAATCACCTGAAATATTTATGACTTTTGATTAGCTTACTCAATAGATGATTATTTTTAGTCTTCAACATCCTTATAACTCACAATTATGAAGTATATATGTCAACTAAATATCTCAGTGTTTGTCGTCAGCTTGTAATGACTGCGAACCGAACAAAAGATAATCTACATTGGTGCTTTATGAAGTTTTTTATAGTTTAAAATCCTAAAGCAACTAGGTAGAGTCAAAAAATGAAAACTATTTTAGAACCGGTTACTACTTAAATGTCAAAAAATTTACTTGCTCGGCTAATCCGTATTTGTTGATACGTAGATTGACTTAGACAGAAACATATGGTGTATCAAATTGGTTAGATTAATGAAGTTGCATACGTTTAGTTGATAAACTCATTGGAGCACTATAAAGGCATTTTATGAATTATTCATTCATCAGTGTATATATGTGTATGTTCTTACAGGACAACGATTATTGATGGGATTTGGAGAGAGAAAGAAAAAGTGTATGAAATATTGAGAATTGAAAAAAATTGTAATTGAATGCATGTTTAATACCTTGTCCCCATGAATAAATCTCTTATTATTGTTTTATCAGTCAAAAAATGAAACTTTGTGATAAACTACATTATTCTATTTTGTAAAATTCATTCACAAGAAATTTATCCAGTTTCTTTTTTGAAGAAAGATAAATAGAAGTTCAGGGATAAGTAATTACGACACAAAAAATGTGTCTTATTTCGTCATCCTTCAAAAAAGTATTATGAAGTACATCGTCTAATTCATTGTAATTTGTACACATACAAAAAATTGATTAGATTGCTAGCTTGGAAGCTGACATGAACGATTACTGTTAATGAATCACAATTGTTTTATAAACGATTATCTCTCTTAAAGATTTCAATATTCCTTCAAATAGATGTTATACATTTTCACAGTTGAAACCAGGAGTCCATCTAAGTTAGACCACCGTTGAAAACCTGTAACCACTGAATGGCTGCTTCGTCCCACTGTGGGGCTCCTCAGCAATGCATGTCCACAATATAATGTAAGCAGTTTATTAATTGGCACACATATCTATCAGTTTGAAGTTACCAAATATCCAATCACCTCAATGTAAGAAAAAAACAATAACACTAATCGTAATGAAATATTAGGTTAAAGAGTTATAGTTGAAGGGAAGAGAATGAAATGGAGGCATTAAATATGCATGGAATGAATATGTGCACATGATCTGTGATGTGCTTCCACATTAGTTGCTGAGAATGAAAACAAAGAGGAAGACTTTTCGGGAAGAGGAGGAGGCTTATAGACTGAGTGATTGCTGACAGACCATATTGTTACTGCAAGGCCAGACAATTTTCATGTTGTCATATGGAAATAATGATCAGCCATAAGTTCAAGTGTAACCAGATTTAATATAAGTAAGTGAATTATTCATCTGAACAAGGTCACCACCCATGTATCTTCGTGTGGATCTCTCCATTACTATATATGTATGTATATATGCACAATGCATATGTTTGTTTGACCTTTGGCAGTAAAGCTTCATGTGCTCTCCTGGTTTTCTGCTGTTACTTAACTGGTCTGGTAAGCGTTACGAAGCATTCAGTCTGAGTTCGACCGTAGAATATAACAGTCTGGAAGATTATATACATATATATATCCCTGTTTCATGAAAAACGTTTCAACCTTTTTGTTTCTTCCATTTTTAGGCTTTCTGACTTTCTTACCGATGCTATGGAACGAGTGATTTGTTTACAGATGGTTTATCGGCGAATGTCTGCCAGGTAACCAACTAAAATATCTCTATATTTGAAACATTTCCTCGGAGTTCTTTTTAAATTTTTAATTTTAATCAATTGATATCTTACATAAATTACATTATTGCTATTCTTAATCTAGTTTGGAGCGCGGATGGCGGTTAGATATGACGTTGAATTTCTATAAAGTTACATTTTTGATAAAGTAAAAATTCGTTATAATGCGGAGGTAACTAAATCACATATGAAGTCAAACATCAAACATCTGACCATTAAAATTAGTAACAATAACGTTTAATCTCAGAATCTAGAGTGGGGTACAGTGAAGAAATAAGAATGATATCATTTACAATATTAAATAATTCTTTTCATATATATATTTGATGCATACGAGTATATTTGTCTACAGTCATTAGCCAGTCATGGGTTATTTTCATAAAGACATTCCAATTGAAGAGAAAAATATTTTGTTCAATAAAACTAACAAAATTGTATACCTGTACGTTAATGATATAATTCAATTTTGAGTGTACTATAGTTAGCTCTCTGTATTTGTATATGTGCATATTTCTTTTGATTAATTTGATCTTACTGGTAATATAAAGCAGTTGGTATTTAACATTTATTTATGAGAAACAATAATATTTGTAAGATGTATTCGGAAAATTCACCATATATATATATATGAAATATGTAGGTAATAGTCATTCATTGAAGCATGGTATTGAGTAATTTCAAGGTTAAAATAAACGCTACATAGTATAATTAATACTTTTACACTGAAAAATTGTTGGCAGTAATAATTGACTATTGTCAAACTTCTCATCAGCTGGTTAATTGTAACATGAAAAAATGTTTGTAACTATTATGATGATTGTATCTGGTTAAAATAATGACTTTGTACTGGATATCTGTACTTTTTACCTATCCACTAATAATTATACAACAGAAAATTACGATATAATGTACAGTGTAAATTAAGGAGATGGTTATTAAAAAAAATAAGGTTGGCAAGAAGTATTATTGGGTGTAAACAATATTTCTTTCTTTAATTATGAATGAATTACGAAATACTGGAATTATATATATAGAATGTGATTGTAAGTACAATTTTTCTTTTATCTTCAGATTTCGACATACCCTGGAATATCTTGGTTATAGTGCAGCTAGAGCCTCTAGTACTTCAGTTGGTTACTTTTGTCGAATTCTAGCTGAATTCGCTCTGGAATACAGAACAACTCGAGAGAAAATTATTGAAGGACGAGAGAAAAAAGCGTTAGCACGAGAACGCAAACGAACAAGAGGAAAATTAATTGTAGATGTAAGTGATGATTTTTAATGGTAATATTCTACAACTTCTAGTGAGAAACTGTGATCAGTGAAGTTATATATCTTGTCGGAAGTTAAACCATAGTATCACCAACAACAATAAACTGTGGTCTCATAATATCCTAAACCACATGAGGCTAGAACTATGAATTACTAAATACCAACTTAGTGGTCTAAAGCTCAAGCACTCTCTGTGAGACGTGAATGTCCCACGTTTTGCCCTTTCTAAGATCGCGGATACACATCACAGAGAACTCTAATACTAAGATTAACTAGTCGTCTAGTCCTAGCTTAATTTCATTTGTTATCTAGCCTAAGTCATTTAGTGATGAAAAAAGGGATATATATATCGCCTTTGTTAAAGCACACTGAAATTTTAATGTGGCACTATTTACACAAATTAGTCAGATCCAACGTGTACATGATTAAATAATATCAACAAATCTCCATAGTGTTTCCTAGGTATGAGTCCAAATAAGTGATCAGATGGAATAAAAAAGTATCAGACAACAAATTACGATTTTAGAATAGTTTTATAAAAATGAAATGATGGAGAATATCCATAACTCAGTCAGTTGTTCACAGTCGCGTTGTATTTTCTTTTCAGCTGGATTATTTGATTGCTAAGATTTTATCATCATTTTGGATAACATCGTCAACATGACTTTTAGAAGCTTTGTAACTAAATCAAGCAACCCAAAGAATATCCCACTGAAATTATATTGATGTTTATAAACATCACAATGACTGATATGCTACTGTATACTTGGATCCGTTTTGTAAATAAAATAAAATTAAAAGACTAATTATAGTTGGAGTAAATATAGTGAAGTTAGAGTGATTGACATAGTTATTGTTGTGATTTTAAGCCCAGCTTTTTATCACGTGATTTATTCGCCAATCGAAATACGACATATTCAGTCTTAATACTGTGCTAAACCAATGATATTCGACCGGTATGAGCAGCCTAGCGTCCTTATTGGTCCCTTCCTCGCCTAGACCGTCCAGTTGAGTGCAGAACACCAATAACAGCTTCCACTACTTGGTTTATATACCAGCCAAACAAACCGCATCATACTATAAAATAGGAAATAACATGTATACAAGATCAAGCCAAAAAGTGGCTGTGAATGTGAGAGACTGTAATCAATAGAATGAACATAATTTAAGAACAGTAAATCGTATAATAATAATAATAGTCTATATGTCAAAATGAAGCTTACAATAAGGGGAATATCGATATACATAATCTAGTTACTAAACAGACATACAATAGGAATATATACAATATTAGTCCATTAATAGTTCTCAGAAGTTACTCGTATTCGGCGGCCTGCTTGATCATCTGGGCTACCTGTTCCTGCCATCTAGATATTTCAACAACTTATCTATTTTTGTTTGTTTTAATATATCATTATGTTTATTAATCGCACAACCTATTCTGCTGCGTTTCTGAAAAGTTTACGACCTTTCGTTGTCAAAGTTACGAAAAACTCAATAAGAGACAATGTGGTTGCTGGTAATATACAGCGAAAAGAATGCACATTATTCAGATGTTCATTTACTGAACTGCTAACATCTAACTGGCGATCACTCAATATTTATCGTCAGGACCGACGAAGAAGAAAGAAACGAAAACTTGTTGAAATACTTTACGCTGAGAATTCTATATTGTACCAAAAATATAATATTGAATAAAGCTAATAATAATAATAATAATAATAATAATAATAATAATAATAATAAATCTTCACTAGGATATAACAGTTATGATCTAGTCAAGAACGATATTAGAATGTTCGATCAAAAATTACATAATTCATATAATCACATACATTAAAAAAAATAAGTGTCAAATATAAATTAGATTAATTTAAATTATGAAAATACATGTTAATTAGTTGTAAATAAATTTCTATTTGATCGGATCACATTTGTCAAATGTTAATTTTAACAAGTAATGTATATCTTATTATTTATTCCATTTCATTTCATAAAAATTAAACGGGGGGGGGGACGTTTTTTTTATATACCATAAATGAAATGTTTACAATAGCAACAATTACATAACAATAAATAAATAAAAAATAGTGAAATATAATGTCTAGTTTTAAGAGTCAATAATGTTTTACTATTATAAATAATATTTCTAGCTTAACACTATAATGGAATTACAATCAGAAGTTGTTCAAGCACAAACTGTAAGCAAATCATCGTAAACAAAAATAAATTCATAATTATGAATAGCACAATTCTTATAGTTGTTGGATTATTTCTTAATAAATAATATTAACATTTTGTATTTAACCCCTTTTTCATTGAATACTTGATTTATTTAATTTGTTTATTTGCTTATTTACTTACTTACTTACTTACGCCTGTTACTCCTAATGGAGCATCGGCCGCCGACCAGTACTCTCTAACCCACTCTATGATGGGCCTTCTTTTCTAGTTCCATCCAATTCTTGTTCATTTTTCTCATGTCTATCTCCATTTCTCGGCGTAATGTGTTCTTTGGTCTTCCTCTTTTCCTCTGGCCTTGAGGATTCCATGTGAGGGCTTGTCTTGTAACGCAGTTGGGTGCTTCCATCAATGTGTGTCCCATCCAGTTCCAGCGCTTCTTCCTGATTTCTTCCCCCGCTGGGATCTGGTTTGTTCTCCCCCACAGTACGTTGTTGCTAATAGTGTCCGGCCAACGGATCCGAAGTATTTTGCGCAGACAACTGTTAATAAACACATGTATTTTCTGTATGATAGCTTTCATAGTTCTCCAGATTTCTGCCCCATACAGTAGAACTGTTTTAACATTTGTATTGAAAATCTTGACCTTGGTGTTGGTTGACAGTTGCTTTGAGTTTCAGGTGTTCCTCAATTGTAAATATGCTGCTCTTGCTTTGCCGTGTTTATTTGCTTATTTACTTTTAATTTTTATCCAACATTATTATTTACTGACTTATTTTAACCCTGTATTAATTTATGACAAAGTTAATGTATACTATTGAACAACCTTTAGGTTTTAAGCAGTTCTAATCAATTAAGAAGCAGCTAAGATAAATGAATGACGTTAAGATAAAGGATTAGGATAGATATTTTGAAATTATTACAATATAGCTTATGTCACTTTATGATGAGAACCCTAATCTTAATTTCTAACTTTATTTTGGATATTTACGCTATAACTTTGATCCTGATTGGTTTAACAGTATTCTTTAGCTATAGTTCACTTGCTATTTCATCTTTGAATCGTTTTTAATGAGTTCTTATCATCATAATTGAAATGAAATTTACATAGAGTAAGAAACTGTTAGATATCATGAGAGCATTGGATAGACCGCTTGTTTTAGTTCGTCACTATTTATCAATTTGTTCAACTACAACTTCTCTAAACTGGGTCGAACTCAGGACCTTCATGTCTGCTGCTGTTGGGCATCACGCTTTTAGACCACTCAATAGGAATATTCATGATCTCTCAATCAAGGCTATATTCTTTCACTAACGACTAACTTCAAGTAAGCATTCTCAAAATTCTGACAAAATGCTATGACTGGTAGAATTCAATCACACTCAGAAATGTAACATATAAGTATCGATAGTATTGGGTGAAAGCTTAACAATATCATAAAATCAAATTTGAGAAAATGGGCTAATAGAGTTTGAATGAAACATAGAATTGTGACAACATGATCTAATACCTAAGTATCTTTAATTTCGTATATAATGGTGAATATGTACTTTTAAGAATCTCCCTAACAAAAGATCAATCAATAGGTTATTCAGTACTCTTGACTTTGAAATATTTCATGATCAATCCACAATGATGATGGAAAATAACATGAACCCTAACGTTCTCCACAAACGTTTGAATCCTAATTTCAATTACTAAGTCAATGTATATTCTATAATGAACATTACTCAAGTTAATAATGATTAAAAAATATCATCATTTTTATTATCACCGAGTAACCTTGATTTTCTTTCTAAAACTTAAATGTAAATACATCACTGTAACAATTAAATTATTTATTGCACTAAAATTTTACTTACTTACGCCTGTTGCCCCTCGTTGAGGAACATGGGCCGCCTACCAGTATTCTCCATTCAACTGTGTCCTGGGCAATCCTTTCCAATTGCTATTCATCCTTTTGTTGGCTGCTTTTAATTCCTGACACAGTGTGTTCTCTGGAAGTGAAATCTATATACTTTTTACGTGTTTCCATTTTTGCTTGATGTTTTAAGTCAAATACACATTAACGCCTTGATAATGAAAACTTCAAGATGTAAATTAATCAAGTGTGAATTGTTTTTACTAATCGCTATCAATAATACTTTTCTAACACTAAACATAAAATAAAATTTTAATTTAACACAATGTCAAAGTAAATATTGGTTTTATTCAATTTCGTTAAATCGATTATATATTTTTGGGGGGTTTTCTTTTTCGAATCAATCCCAAAAGGTTACTGGTTTACGAAATGCACCAAATGATCTAGTCCAATCGAAAGACGATGCAGAACTTCGTGATTTATTACTTCGACCTTCGAATGAAACTGACTCAGATGCATCATCATTTACAGCTACCATTAGACGACGTCTTCATACTCCTGGACCAGGTGGGTACATTTGTAAAAATCTGATAAACGTCTTATTTATTATTTTATGTTTGGTATACTAAAATTTCTACTACAAACTCTATTTCCCTTCCTCGCATAAATCTATTGAGATAGTTTGAATGTCTTAACAGTGCTTAGTTTTTTTAAATCATTCAATGAATGATTTAATTTCATGTCTATATTCCTTTTTAAAAATGTATCTAGATACGTGGTAATTTTAATCCTAAAGTTATCATTATTGTTTAGGATCAAATCACCAACACTTTTAGAAAAGCTCGATCAATCACATTGCCAGAGATCAGTTGAAAATTACAATTAACACGAATTCAAAAATAAATGAAGGCGACATATTATAGATAGGACCATCAGAACTAACTGATTTAAGTTATAAACTTACTAAGAAATTCACATCAACCTAAACTGGACGCTGATGATTTTGTTCAGTAGGCTAATGAAAGCTTCGCAATCAAACTATCCAAGTCAAAGAACAGATCATCATCATCATCACGAATAACTGTTCTTACTGAAGAAAGTCTGTAACAGAATTTATTCTATCGGTTTAGTATATGTCTTGCAAAATAGATCGTGTCGACTTTCCTATCATGTTGAGATGCTTGACTGTGAGAACCATTGGGTTGATTTCTGACAGCATATATTTCGTATTCATTATTTGTTCCTCTTTATAAAGTATATCTATACATCTTAATTATTTAATTTAATAACTACTTCTCCATTATTTCCCTTGACTGTATAATACTCTGAATTTAATCAATAAATGTTCAGCTCCTAGAAGATTAGCACCTCCAAATCGAGGACGAAGTCCAGGTTTATTATGTGAAACATCAGATGCATCAATGGAAGCATTAGATCAAGAACAGGATATTCTGTTAGATGCTTGTTTACGTGCAAGTACACCATCTATCAATTCTCATGGAGCATCAGGACGACGTGTTCCACCAAAAGATCGTAGAAGACCTACAGATCGTTCAAGATTTTCAGGTATGTTTAAGAAAGTAAATATTTATTTATTTATTATTTATTATTAGAAGCTTTATTCAACATTATATTTTTGGTACAACATAGGATTCTCAGCATAAAGTATTTCAACAAGTTTCCTTTTCTTATACCTTGATCTATTGTGACGATAAATTTTGAATGATGACCGGTTAGATGTTAGGAGTTCGGTAATCCACATTTGATTAATGTTCATTCGTTTCAATGCATATTGCCAGCCACCATGATGTCGCTGATTGTACCTTTTTGTATCACGTATAGCGAAAGGTTGTAAACTTTTCATAAACGCGCCTGAATAAATTGTGCGCACAATAGACATAATGATGTGCTAAAACAAATAACAAAACAGATAACTTGATGAAATATCTAGATCGGAGGAACAGGTAGCCCAGATATTCAAGCAGGCCGCCGTTGTTACATATATATCAGCAAACAATATTGTTTCCGACTAGATTTTCATCATGCTCTACTCCAATATACAGTTAGTATTTATATGCATAATATTAAAAATATTAAATCAAATAAAACAATGCATAAGTCACTGATAACTAGTCGTAATAAGTGGATTATTGAGTAGTTGACCTACTGTAAAAATATATCCTCAAGTTATAATAATAATTTGTAACCTGTGATGGATTCAGTCAAGTTTATTGTTAAGATAAATGTTTCTCAATTGCGTCTTACTAGCTCAAGTTAAAATTGTTTCCTGTCGTGTTCCGATTGAATCAGTGGGAGATGTATCATGACCGTTGTCTAATTCGATGGTGTTATAACATTCAAACTGACTGGGCTACCACACAACGATTCACCAACTCAACTTTATAGTGGCATTAGACAAAATCTCCGTAGGAATCTGTATTGTCAAATAGAATAATGCAACTAATCCGTAGTCATAGATTGTTAGACTGACCCAAACAATGATACATGAGTTATGACTTTAGTTGGATGAACAATCCATTTGCTCACCATATCTTGCTAGTACTTACATCTGACTTAATGTTAGAGCTTTGATAATTCATGTACTTTGTAATGATTTGAATTATCCTGTTGCTGATATTCTTGACTAAATTTCGGTGTGTGTTAATTGACATTTATGCACCCGTTTTTGGATTGTCACTATATTTACAGTCATCTACATACATAAACACAGTACAGATTACATATATCTGGGTTTATTTTAAATTATACTATTCATTTTAATTATTCATCATTGTTGTATACTACTTGTGTGTTTATTATTATTTTTTCTATTCAACCCGTTTCTCTCTGTAGTTTTCCAGTGCGTTCTGAGAGATGTCTCGTTTTTCTTTTCATTGATTTTTGTTGTTGTTGTTGTTGTTGGATTTTTGTTTTGTTTTGTAAAATATTTAAGTTTGTACATAATGTAATTTATTGAAATTGAATGCTACTCGATGTATGTGTTTGCGTGTCTATTTATTTGCTTGTATACAAGGCTATTATGCAATGATGATATGAATTATAATCCAATTATTATTTTAAAATGATCTAAATGATTTAAAGCAATTAGTCCCTTTTATAAATTTCGATAGAACAATGAGAAGATAAACTCCGTCTTCTCATTGTTCTATCTAAATGATTTATTTATTTCACGAGAAATCCGGTATTGTCTTTAAATTAATGTCAATGATGCTTATATTCAATATATTGTTGACGAATATGTCTAGTCTTAAAATAATAATAATAATAATATGTTTTGCATAAAGAAACAAGGTCGTTGAAATGATAGAACGGATTTGTAGTTTAGTTGTATGTTTTTGCTGGTGTTATGTTCTGTGGTCTGAATAGAATTTATTATTATTATTATTCTAAATAACATCATTAGTATCTACTTATTTTAAGTAGTAAAGAAACCTTGATAATTTTATTCATAACGATGAAAGCTTTACAATGAAAATATCCAGTTTAATGATCACTGAAATGTCTCCCAAAACAGTACTTCATAATTAGCAGATAATTAGTTTTGAAACTTCATACTGTTGAATTTTCTGTCATGGAATTGTGAAAATCTCTATGTAGGCGTTTTTTTTTAAAACTGAATTTCAAAATAATTCCCTTCCAGACACGAGTTATACTGCTTTAGTGAACTTTCAGAATATCTAACAAATTTCATTTCAGTAATTATTCTAGTTTAGTTAGATTATGTACGAAGAGGTTGGTTCGAATTCAACATGGCTTACATCAACTAGAAAACTACTTAAAACTAAAAGTTATTAGATAGTTTTCTTGTTATCATTTGAGATTCGTCAACAGTAAATGCACACAGCTGATGCATTATATTATTGTGCATATGAAACAATCGATCTCGCAACTTACCATGCATGCTGTTTGGCATATACAAAAGTCATTCTCTGTGTAACTATTCATTTATAGCATGTGTAATGCATATTCATTATGGTTTAGAAAACATTATGACATTTTATTACTGTTTTCACTTTGATTCTTGCAAAGTATATCTCGTTTGATTATTATTATTGTTTGTGAACTAATTATTCCTATTTTTTTCTTTTAAATTTCTTCTTCATATTATTTTTTGGTTCGAAATTCAAATCAGTCCGTCGAACTCTTAACAAGAAATTAGCTGAAGATGATATCAAAGCCATTGAACGTGTGATACAAGCATCAGCAAAAACTTGAATTAAACAAGTTTTGCTATCCAATAAACTAAAATGTCTGCATACATGAATAAATGGACAAATCTGCATTAATATTACAAAACTGTGTTGTAATGCATGAATAACCATTTTGAAGATGTCGATGGATAAAACGTATTTTCTTTCTGTATATAGAAACAAACCTTTATCAACTACCTTTTGTGTGAAATAATAACAATCCTCTGAATATTGTTGATTAAAACGAAATCTTCTTTTCATTTTAAACTCCATAAAGTTATTCCCATCTTTGTACATTGATACAAATATACACATATACGTATCACCGAGCATATACGATGTGTGCATATGTACCTAAACTTGTTACAGGCATTGTAAATCTGGTAACTTACCTTTTTAGGTTAAACCGTTTGTTATTAACCTATCCTCAATTGTATAATCAAAGTCTAAAATTTATCTCAAGCGAATTCTATTTGTAATTCAATAGCTTGGCAACAGACAGGATACCGAAATACATCTCTCCATTACAAGTCTTCTTCAACTCCCCTACTACAATTACATTTATTCATCACCTATGTGATAGTGACGTAATCCTCCTAAATGTTTACCTCAAATTTCTTTTATTCTACAAGAGTGCAACTTTCATACTATCTATGCATCATATATATATATATATATATATATATATATATATATATATATATAATTTTAAGCATAATACTCTGATAGACATACTCATACAATCAAAATGTAAGCAATTGCAAAAGATTACAAAAACAAATTCGCCTTATTGATTGTATGATATAGGACAGCCGAATTTGTTGTTATCGGTCTTAGTGCTAATGGGAGCAGAGTAGAAATTGTATATTCGCTAACTTTTATAGTTTCTTTTGCAAAAGAGTTGATCGGATTTTGCCCAAATTTCTTTTAGTTGCCTCTAATTATCATGTATTTTTTCTTTCAAATTTCGTTTGTTATAATTTGTTATTACCTTCACTTAAACAAACAAACAAACACAATTTGTTTGCTTTTCGACTTTATACATTTTATTTTCATAATCAATTTCTCTTTCGTTACACACTGGATTCTATGATTTAAGAGAAAAATAAAAAAACTATTTCCTAGATATATTAAACTTTCAGTTATTCTTACTTCAAAACAAAACACAACAACAAGATCTATCCTTCTCCCCCTCTCCCTTTTTTATGTGTCCTAGTGTATGCACATTATGTAATGTGTTCACAGTCAACCCCTTTCTTTTACTCTTATATCTTTTCGGTTTGAGCAATTATGAGATCACAAGGAAAAAGATGCATTTTTAAGTTTCTCATTGTTTATTCCACTGTTGTGTTTTAATTTATCAATGAAGTTTAAATGTGATTTCCTTTAATGATCATTTTCTAATGTTCAACTTTTTTTTTAAAAAAAAAGGCATTCAATTCCTATATTTTTTAATTTGCTGCTATCCATAGTTTACCAAGTTTCCAAGACAAACCGTAATGTATAAACCTTTCATTATAGTATATATGTATATCGATTCCCTAGACAATTTATTGTCAAACAAAAATTCAAATTAATTCAGATGGATAAGTGAAGAGAATGTGTTAATCTGTGTTAGCTTGGTTGGATTGTATTATTTCCGAATCTTTGGTATTTCTCTCCGTCCTCACCTGTATTTTATGTTTTTATGTACTACTACTACTACTGCTGAGATTTTATTTTTTAGATAGAATATATATATATATATATACTTATCCATGTATGTATATCAGATTCTTTTTTAAATTTAGTTAATATTACCAGTTATCCATTTATAAATTACTCTTCCAAACTTTCCTAACCAAACCCCTCAACGTATAACGATAAGAACTTGATAAACAAATAATTACATGAACATTCATTAAACCTAAGAATTCACATCAAAGTGACTTTTTTTGTACCTCACCATCTATTATCTCCTTTCATCTCTTATCATAAAAAGCCTTCATTTGTTTTACATACAATAAATACTGATTCAGATGGATAGACAGGTTGAGTGAGTGATAGATATACTTGCATATTTGTGTGTAAGGAGATTGAAATTGCAATTAAATTAGTAAGTATTAACCGAATTCATGTGTTTACTCCTCCATTATTTCAAATCTCGTTTATTTTCAAATCCTTCTTCTTGTACAGTAAGTATCTCTTCAAAAAAAAGATGAAATGAGCCCTTTTGACAAATTGTGTTTTGAAGAAGGATGATTTTTTCCTTCATACTTCTATGCGTATTTTGATACAATCACCTGATTCTTCCTAAATATATATTTCCTTTGGTGTTTAACTTATATGTATCAATATGTAATTAAATATAACAATTATGCAAATTACTTCAAGTTTCAACTTCTGTTTTCTTCAAAATATCATAGTTTTTATTTAAAATGTTTTAACATTGTGTTCTCACAACCTATTCAGTAGCACAAATATGTATGCATATCCAATTATAAAACTAACTATATATGTTCACTACTAATTGACGTCGAGAAGCCCTGATCATATCAAGAGTGAAGTAGATATTGCCAATCTCACTGGATGACTGCCATGCTATATATTGCGAACAGAATGATGTTGATACGATAAACGACTAAATCCTGACATCACGATACGTAAAAGTTTGATATTCAATCATGAGTGCTGTTATATCTGGGTTGCCATTGTTTATGTTCATATCGACTCGGTTGTATCCACGGTCTAATTGGAAACGGGAACCACTGGAATTCCCATGATGCAAAATAAGAACACGAAAAACTGGTACCACGAAGATTTATTGGCTCTCCCAAAACACGTCCCCAAAAAATCCCAAAATCACGTCCTCATTAGACTAAAATACAATCATTTATATACTAATGTTTACACACAATCATATCACTTGAAGAAAATACATACAGTAGCTGTAGAAAACACATTGAATATAGTTCACCTGGATTTATTCTGGGAATATATATGTCATACTGAACGAAAGTGTATACTTGTTGTGCTGAATCAGTACAAGAAATAGTGTCCTTAGAAGATCACGCTGAATGAAGTTCACACCTGTCACCACAGCCATAATTCATAATGAATTGGTACAAAAACTAAACTTAAATAATGTCACCTTTTTATCGCGTCATATAGGCTACAAGCTGCCGTACTAAAACAAAACATCTATACTCTGATTGATTGCTTCTTATAGTTTTGAAACTGATATTATTGGTCTGCAATAAAAACTAAATAAATAATGATCTTCTGTAAACCCTCTTAACTCAAACGACCATTATGAACTGCTTAGCAAAGTATCTGATGCTAAGCTGCAGATTCATAACCATTTGTTAATACACTAAGAATCAAATGGTAGGCTTAATCAACTAAGCTTAGATAAATTCTAAAAAATATTATTGCTTGAATTAGGATTCAAAACTAACGTATCAATTATTTCTTGATTCGATCCACCAAGCTACAAGCAGTAGACGTTATCGCTGTGATTCGCGATCTGTAGCCAAATGAAGAGAACTGTTGATCAAGTATATGTGAAAATTCTTTGTAAGTATTATGAGTTCAGCTCAAGAGGATTACTAAATTACTAATTCTACTAGTGATGAACTCGCTTAACATCAATACAGCTGAAAATCCTCATATAATTAATAATGTAAATGATCACTAAACAATACTGAATATCCTTAGACAATATTTGCCCACCTTGAATCTTTTATCCCCAATGTCCAATCGGAACACAACGAAAGCCACTCAGCCTTCTCTTATCACAACTTGGAAATTTATATACATTAATTAAGACAGCCAGTGTGGCAATAGCCTCTACAGCAGTTGGCCTCAACCTACACAAGGGATAAAGCAAGATCCTCAAATACAACACAAAAGGCACCAACCGAATCCCGAGTGATGGAAGCTTTCACGTACCTAGGTAACATCACTGGTAAATGAGAAGGACCTGGTGCAGAGGTGGAGACAAGGGTTAGCAAATCAAGGGTAGTGTTTCTACAGTTGAAGAGCAAATGGGACTCAAAACAGTTGTCAGCCAGCATCAGTCACAACTTCCGAAATAAACGTTAAGACAATTCTGCTGTACGGAGCTGAAATTTAAAGTAGTACAAACATTATCAAAAGTGTACAGTCATTTATAATCGATTCTCTACGTTCGTTGGTTGAATATCATCAGGAACAACATAGTGTCAGGTAACAACCCAGCTTCCAACTGAAGAGGAAATTAGAGAAAGACGTTGAAGATGAATAGGATATATATTGCGTAAATCACTAAACTGCATCACGATGTATGCCCTAATTCTGGATCTTGAAGGAAAATAAAAAAAGAAAGACTAACGAACACATTTCCAGTATATGGTTGTGGAGATTGTTGAGTTTTAATTGAAATCATGAACCAATCTATGTTAGACCACCATTGGAGACATGAAGGCACTGGACGAACGTTTTGTCCTATTATGCGACTCACCAACAGTGCGCACCCACGATCTCGCACGCGAACGCGAGAGTCTTAGTGAGAAGCCGTGACCAGTGGTGTTCAACCGTGTCGGATGGAAGATGGACGCGCAATATCGTGGATCGGTTGAAGGTAAACATAAGCAATGTTGGATGTCGGCTCAGTGGATGAGACGGCAGTCCAGTGCATCCAGATTTCCAATAATGGTCCAACTTCGATGGTTCATGATCTCAATTAGAACACATTGCGTTGGGGATTGGAGATAGATATCAAAAGAGTGAATAACACCTGGAAACAACTGGAAAGGAGAGAAGAGGACAGAGTTGGCTGACGGCCTATGCTCCTCTACGAGGCGTTACAGTCGTGAGTTAGTAAATATTAATTAATTACAAGACCATTAAAACAATATAAACAGACACTAATAATAATAATCTATGCACTACTAGGCTCTTTGTAATATAAAACTGAGTAACATGTAAATAATTAATTAATGTTAATTTAACATCAATTACATATCAACAATTAATGACTTAAATGAAAGTCTTCAACTTCAACAATACGAAAAAATACCATAAACCAAATATTTAATAAAAATATAACAGAAATGCATATAATAATTCTCCGTAAAACAAAACTTGACCTTTTCCATTTATTTACTTGTAGCTAACAGTATTAACTACAATAATTCCAAGAATTTGAGATTTTCTCATTCTCAATATTAAAGACTAGATTTGACCAGGTCCTGTTAGCATACAATGTCCTAGAACTAACTTCTCAAATGTTAGTTATTATGACAACAAAATTGTACATGGATCAACCATTGAGTAGCAAGTAATTTATAGCAACTCACGTGCAATTGAGTTTGTTCTCATTTAATTCGGTTAAGCCCTTTTGTTAACTTATTTAGTGGACAGAGCCATCCGTATTGTAACAACCTATTGTCCTTTATTATTGTTGTGCTTGTATGATATATGCATGCTTGAACATTGCTTACCGCCTACGCATATATTCATTCTGCTAGCTTTATTATTAGCTGCTTAAATGATCCGATGATTCATCCATATATATACATTTAAACACAAACTATTCTGCTCTTCTCTTTCAAGTCGCTGACTCACTCAGTTTCCTCTCTGCTTTGTGGTCTGAGTTATCTGCTAATAAAACTGTAGTC